CCCCAAAACCCCAAAACCCCGCTCCTTTTTAATTATCAAATTTATGAAATTAAGAATAAAATAATAAAACAAATGAATCAATTAAAAGTGATTGAGAGGTATATCTACTCAAATTTATCATTGATGAGCTCTCTTTAAGGAATTTTGGTCTTCATTATCAAACTCATTTATTCTCTTTAGTTTCATTCTTTCCGTCATCAGGTCTCCTCCAACCTACATATTCACATCGGCATCACCTTAAAATAACTTTTAAAGGTTTTTCACATCGTACTCATTTTAGTTGCTTAACCCATAATATCCATTCTGTACCTGGTTCTAGCAGTACTCAACTAATCCTTTCCAAGTTGGCTCTCTTTTCAAGGTACTCGAGTTTCCCACTACAAACAAGAAATACTTGGCTCTGGTTATAGCTACGTTCATTCTTCTTTTATCAATCAGAAATCCAAGAGAGCTTTTTATCTATGTGGAGTTGTTACTTCTTACACAGTTGAAGATAATTATGTCCTTCTCTCTACCCTGATAAGCGTCTACGGTGTTTATCTCAATATCTTATAATTTGCTTCCTATCTGTCTTAGCCACGGACCTAGTAGATCCTTAATTACTCTTACCTGCGACTTGTAAGGAGTAATAATACCTATTTTGCCTTTCAAAGCTAGGAAGCCTTGCTGACCTTAATTTTTTACGAGTTACCAGAGCATTTGAATAAGATTCAATGTGAACTATGCCTCATGAGGATTTGACTTTGAGGTCTCGGATATAGTCTCTTCGGATTTTAAAAGATCGAAAAAGATCATATTACTCATAGTATCGCATATCTACTTTATTACTTGAGGCTTATCTCTGGTTTATATTGATGACCCATCTTAAATTCTATCATCATAAAATTGCTGAGAAGGAAATTTCCTAATAACTGGCTCCATTCTGTACTATATTTAAAGCATATACCTTTGATAGCCATTGTCTAAAAGTCTCTCAAAGAAGCTACGACTGAATTTAGTTCGATCAGAATTCTCAGAAAATGTTGTAGCAGGCAACTAGTTTTAATCTCCAACCATTATCACTCTTTTAGGTCCTAGTTCGAATGGAATGAGGGTAGATGGCTCTATGCATTAGCAGGCCTCGTCAATTATAAGATATTCAACTAGATCCTTAGCGATTTCAAGTTTCTCGATTCCAGACATTGAGAGAGTAGTACATACTATCTTAGACTTAAGTATGATTTGATTCTCTATGTACCTCCAATCTCCTCCTTATGACTGGCGATTATCATCCATGTTCTGCTTGATCTTTGAGTTTTGCAGGACTAGCTTATCTTTAATCTGTAAAAAATACTTCTTCTGATCATATACAGTCGGATTTTTTCTGAAGAAATCTTTGAGCTTTTTCAAATTTTAATTCACAAGTGACTATAGATATTTCTTATGATTTTTATCATCTACTGAGAGCGCTACATTCTTTTTCAGTAGTTCTAGTACTTCCTCAACATAAGTTATCTTCACCTTATTATCATGTAACATTTAGCTGTTTAATATCTCTATTAGTCTCTAGTCTAGAGTATGAGGCTTAACATTTGGAGACGGCTCATAATCCATCGAACCGATTCTAATCATTAAAGTGTACAAATCATCTACCTTTCTAAAAATATATATTAAAGATAAAGTATATAAATACAAATCCATTCCAACGAGACCTTTTAGATTTATTCTTGAGATAATCTCATCAATAGCAGCATTAGATGGGGCACAAACTAATATTTTATCGACTCCTGACTTTATTAGCATTGAAATTATTCCTGTGATCGTGTGAGTTTTTCCGGTACCAGGCTAAGTATATAAAGGGATATTAATTATCTTACGGGCCCTTGTATCAGAAGTAGTTAGTTCTCAACCATCTAGGTAACCTCAACAAGAGCATCCTTTTGAGAGGGATTGAACAAGTGACCAAAAGTTTTTACATATATTTCCATATTTTCATGATGCTTATGCTTTTCACCTCCTTGCTTAATTATCTATAATGCTTTCTCTGGTCGTAGTATTGTTTGAGTAAGTCCAAAGAACTCACTCATTCTTAGGGTTCTGTATTCTCTAAGCGTTGTGGATAATGATTCTAGCTAATAGCAGAATACTTTAACATATCCAACGTCTTTTTCTTGAATTTTTAAAAAGGGAGCCTTAGAGATGTCAACTTTGATCTCAAGATATGTGCTCCCTTTTTTACTCCTTTCTTAAACATAAGCGAGCATTACTTTGTATTGCATAAGTGTTTGTTTAAGCCAGTCAGGAGTTATCATCTTTTTTATATCTCCATCGTATTTATGATAGTCTTTACCGAGAAGATCCTCTGTTGATAATATCAAGATATCGCTTTCTTTGATATACCTTAAGTTTGTAGTCTCATTATTTTCTTCTTTTTTATCTTAACCTTAATTGTTTCTGCCTCTATCCACATTTAATGTTGGAGGATTTTCGTAGAGTCTAGCATTGCAAAAGTAATTCTCTTCTGCTCCCTTAATCACATATCCAGTCCAAGAAAAAGCTCTTTGCGATCTTCTTCCCATTTCTTATTATGATAGTCCATATGAATTCTTATCCTCACTTCTCTTAGAATTAATGATTATATTATAGGTCTCATAAAGGAAAAGCCTCTCCCAAGATTTTAGGTATTAAGTGTGCCCATTAGGAAATGTGTTAGGTATTTATTCTAGAATTGAGTTGTTTTTAAACATATCTATGATATCCAAGTTAAGGATTGCTCTAAGAATAGGCTCAATAGATTTTCTGTTAATAAATCTGGCCTTTTTGGCAACTTAATCTTCAAGTAGTAATTGCTAAGTTTAAAGAAATTTTAAATGTTCAGCATCATTTCTGACCTAAGCCACAGGGTAATCAAGTTTCAACTCATATTGATCATCAAATTCTAATTTCTTCTTTGCTTCACCTTCTTCTTCATTGTAATCCTCTCCAAATAGTTCACTCAAGAGTTCAGATTTACTTTCCTTCTGCACTTTCGTATTAGAGCCTTATTGACTTTTTCTAGGCTCACTACCAGATATATCTTTTTAAGATCCACTTCTCATCAGTTCTAACTCTCTCTTTTTTCTGGCGAATTCCAAATCTATTTGAGTATTGCTGATTGGAACATGCTTGACAATGAAATTCGATTGAGATCTTTCAAGTGTTCTGATTTTCCCATCAGGTGATTTAAATTTAGAGGGTGAATCACAAAAATCATTTTCCATATCTAAGTCATTTGAAACCAGTTTATTTAGCCTTTGCTTCATTAAAGAAAGTTGAGTTTGAAGATCCTCAGAACTATCTGAGTCTGTATCTTCTGCTAAAGCTGCAATTTTTTATTTCTCTCGCTCTTCTCTCATTTGTCTGTTTTAAAGACGATATTAATGGATCTATACTTACTGAATTTTCTGTTGAGTTTTCAACCTCTCAAGACTCTCTAACTCCTCAAGTTATTGTTTGTCTTCTTCACTATGATCATAGAGTCTCATGAATTCAGCTGGAAAAGCCATTTGGCTGTTTAAGGAATCACCGTTTCCTCTTTTTCTTTTACAGGACGATGACTAGGATTGGTTAGAACACTCGCTTATTCTTGATTGCCTCTTTTTGCTTATCCTCTTTTTCTTTTAAATCCTCATAGAAATTGTCAGGAATAGCTGGTCCCACCTCCTCTTAATTATCGTCATAATCATAATATGTTTCATTAGGTCCCCTCTAGGATTCATTACTTGAGCTTCTGCCTCTACTTCTTCGATTATCTTTTCTCTTCTTGTCTTTCTTCTTCTTATTTCTCTTATTCTTTTTAGCCTATTTCTCCTTTAGAAGTGATCTTAGTTTTTCCAGACTAGAACTTCTTGATCTTTCCCTCTTCTTAATCTTTTTTGAATTTCTGCTTTTTTCATTATATTTCATATTAATGTTCTAAAGAATCATTCTTTCATTCACTCTTTAAAACGCAATTGATCCTTAGTCTAAACTCCCATCTGCGATCTCGGCGTTCAATCTTTACGCATCTAAATAGGTCATATTCTGAAATGAAACATAATTATTACCATTTCTACTCAATTAATCAGTTCTTTTTTCAACTAAAACGTCATCATTTTTCATTCTTTCAGATTTTGAATTACGTTCAATACCTTAGTAAAGTGATTGATTGTTCTAAATACTAAACTAAAATCTTTTAAAATCAAAATAAAATGCCTTATCATGAGGAGAATAAGCTTCATGATTTTTTCTATTTACTTGAGACTCCATTAACTTTTTTTGAATTATCAATTTATAATTATCTGTATACTCCCTTATTAATACTAAGGGGTTTTGGGGTTTTGGGGTTTTGGGG